TATAGATGAGATAAACCAATAATAAAAATATAAGTTTTATAGTGAAAAATACAAGAATAAATGATTTTAGTGCAATAGTAAAAGAAAATGTACAAAAATGTAATTAATATTTAAATATTACGATCTAGATATCAAAAAGATAATAATATATACTAAATATAATTGTGTAATGGAATACAATGTAAAAATAAAGGGACAAATTAATTTGATTATAATTGAGTTACATGATGTAACATTTAATGTTCTTTGTAATATATTTTAATTTTTGTTGATTAATTACAAATTTTTTTGATGAAATGGTAACAATATATAATTATGTTAATTTTAAAGAGTGTGAAAAATCAATATGATAATATTGTTTATTTTACAAAATACAGTAAGAGAGCATCAATTTTCATTTATTAAAAAGATACTTTATTCATCCCTATCTGATCAAAATTAATCATAATATATCATAATTTTGTAAAACCTGATAATTGATAACAATTTTTCACTGTATTTACTAATTTTTTCTTAAAGTTTTAATTGATTAAGAATATTAAAAATTAATTTTAGCATTAGGATTAAGATTAAAATAAAAATTAAGATTATATATAAAATTGCTTCCCCAATATTTTTTATTAACGCTTCAAGACAGATTTAAGTATTCGTTTTCTGTATATTTCATTTTTGATTTTCTTGTGTCAGATTTGTTTTGCATTTTTATTGGTTAATCTAGAAGATCCGGTGTGCAATCAACCAATCAGTGATGGAAATTACTTGCGTCCAATCAAAACTTGGCGCTCCTCTAACAGCCGAAAAATAATCTAAATGGCACACGATCGTAATTAGTCATGGAAACTAATCGATCTGTGCGACAATCAATTTCTCATAATCTATAAAATTTTCTTATACAATAACCACATGTCAGAAAGGAGCTCGGTCTTTACAGAGGCTTCTCGCCTCTCAACCATCCCCAATGAAAAGAAATTAACTCAAGATGAAGTGGTTTTTTTACTCAATTATTTCACTACAAATACTAATCAAGTAGCTAATGCGGAGTTAGCCCTCACTGTCTGCCTAACTGATAACATGAAACTCGACTATTTGAGGACTTTTAGTATGTTGTCACAAAATAATGTAGCTTAACTTTTGATAGCTGTTGTTTCATTTTTTTTCGTCCGCGCTGTGTCATACAATCTTGTAACTTTTTCTTTCCTTTCTCCTTCCGTTCGTATTGTTTTTCTACCCTATGTCTCACCGGAAGCTCAATCACAAAGTAAAGTACTCCTTGTAAACTTAATACAATGTTGTATATATTGAGCAATCTTTATGCGAGGAAACGTTGGGTTTATTCATTTATTTACTCATTCTTTGCAGGAAAGCGCAAGAGTCCCGAAGATGACAATCAATGTAAGATTATGCTGAAATATTTCCTTTTTTTTGTAACTGAATGTTAAATGATCTTCACGCCATGCTTTAGTTGCAATTACCGAAGGAATGAAAACATTTGCCAGTGTACTCCCATGGAACAAGTTGAACGCAATCCCATCTTCTCAATCCATCATATCTCTTCCCAACAACATCCGTTTTCTTAATTCTAGTAAGCTTGGTTCAAAAATTTTCGTTCGGAAAGCATTTAAGGAACTTTGGGAGATTATAAGTATACAGCATCCTGGACATGATTTCCTGATTACAGGAAATCCAGGAACAGGCAAAACCTTTTTTAATCTTTTCTTATTATACATACTTGTTGGAATTGGTAAGACGGTGGTCTTTCAGATGAGTCCTGATCAAGAAACATGTTACAAATTCAGCAATGGGGCTGTGGAGCTTACAACAATACAACACTTGCGTGTCGTCCTTGATGACCCACAAGTATATTATCTTTTAGACACTATGGAACCTCAAATAAAACTATGTAATGCCCGCAAGATTGTTGTATCTTCGCCGAACAGAGAACGATACAAGGAATATGAAAAAGAAAATTTAGTTGATACAAGGATAATGCCGACATGGGATTTGGAAGAACTGGAAACCCTCCATCAGAGCATCTATCTTAACACAGACTTTATTAAGCTGAGAGAACTTTACTCTTTATGGGGTGGAATCCCTAGATATGTTGTAGAAAAA